TAAACAACTTTCTATTGTCACATTTAAATTTTAAAGTGTGAAAGCATGTAAGATATTACAAGCATATTAGAGTGTTCATCACAATTTAGGTTAGATTACAGGGCTTTTAGCTAGAAGTACTTTGAAACCGAAACAACTGAAAACAGATATAATGTTCTTCTTAAAAACATTAAGACTGAATAAAATTAGACTTAGTTTGAATGTTAAAAATCTCACAAGTTAAAGCTGACTTTATAAAAGGATGGTCAGACCCAAAACCCTACTTCAGTATTTTTCAGAGGACGGATCTTGAGGGTATTATGTTATGAAATAAGTCAGACGGAAAAGGAGAAAAACAGTATGTTTTCACTCACATGTGGGATATAAAACGAAAAACAACAAATGAACCAACAAAACAAACAAACAAATGAAAAACTCATAGATACAAACAACAGAATGGTGGTTACTAGAGAGGAAAGGGCTGCGGGGAGGATGAAAAGGGTAAAGAGGGTCAACTATATGGTGACAGGAAGAGACTAGACCAGGTGGTAAGCACACAATAGAGTATACAGATGTCATATTATAAAGCTGTATACCCAAAATTTATATAATGTTATTAACCAATGTCACCCCAATAAACTTAAATTTTTTAAAAAATATTTTTCAGGCCTATGAGTAACTAAAATCATTTTAAGATAAAATGTTTGGTTTCAATGATTTCATAGTATAAAGGATATTATTGATAAAAACAAAGCACTTTATAAAATTCTATCATAATATTTACTGTATTTCTAGAACCCAATAAGTGCTTTGTTATTTGAAGACTTTTTTTTTTTTATGATATGAGTTTGTTTTTTAATTCATGGAATCCCAGACAAGTACTCTGATTTTCTTCCTTATATTGTTGGTTAGAGCAATGCTCCAGGCATTTACCATGTTAATTTTTGGTGAACAGAGAACAAGATACAAAATCTACAACATTTTTTTATATTGCTATCAAGTGAGTCTAAGCAGAGAATAACATCACCTCTAACAAAAATGTTAGAGGTAAAATAATCATATTATAAATTTGTTCAATTTTATATGTTAAATTATATACATGTATCCAGAGATTCAGCTATAACTACTTTTTTAGAAAATCAAATAATTTTCAGAAAACTTACCTGCCCAGCTAAGGATCCACAAGCACCAGCAGCCCCACTGACAACCATTGTTTGATTAGATCCAGCAGTTATATGACCTTTTTCCTGTATCCCAAACAAGGAAGTCAGACCAGGCATACCTATGGCCCCAAGAAAGTATGAAAGGTGTCCATCCACAAGTTGTGGGTCTACCTAAAATGAAATATATACCTTTTAAAAATAATACCAGGGATTCCTGTTTTAAGTCAACAAAGCAGAGACAACTTATTATAAACTGAATCGTGTCCTCCTGTGGAGGAAAAAGGGGTTCTATGGAAAGTAAGCTCACAGGGTGATCTGATCCTGAATTCCTAACTGGGCGGGTCATGGGGGATAGTCATGCCCCTGGCATGTAATTCTTTAGCAGAAGGCTTATCTTTGCCTTAAGCAGCCCTGTCCATTGCTGTCCATTGTTTGTGTGCGTCTAGGTCAGCAGTTCTCAACCTTTCACAGGGGTTGCCTAAGACCATCGGAAAACACATATTTTCGATGTCTTAGGAACCAAGACACCGCTCCTCTATCCGTCTCCAGGCCCACATGCAGATACTCCCACATACGAGTACCCGGCGACCCCTGTGAAAGGGTCGTTCTACCCCCAAAGGTGTCACGACCCACAGGTTGAGAACCACTGATCTAGGTGAACAAATCTTTGAAAATAAGAGAACCACCCTCAAGAGAGCACATAATCTGGTTAATTAGCCTATAATCCAATCCCTGCCTTGCTTTCTCCCACCCTCATGTAATCTTCCTTACATTCCCTCCTTAATTTCAAAATGCATAAAAGCAGCTGCAAAACTGTTACTCTGTAGAGCATTTGAGATCTTCTCTCCTGGCATACGAGTACATCGTCAGTTTTGGCTCAAATAATCTTATAAAAATTCTCTACAGGTTTGGGCATCCTTACCTCAACAGCCATTAAAATGTCACAAAGAAATAAAATGGAAGTTTGTGTTCAGCAGTTTTAAATGGCTATCAGTTAAATCTCGTGTGTGGATAAAGGTAATGGAGAATTAAGCCTACAGTACAAAGAAAGGGCTATAGTATGCAGATATATTTCATGTAGGTAATAGTTATTTCTTAGTAAAGGCAGTATAAAAACAGTGTGAGTTACATTTGTGTTCAGCAAATATCATTTCTCCATCCCTATTCCCAAAGCACTTTCAAGTTCTCCCCAACTGCTCAATTTCCTGCAATAGCACAATGATAGGGAAAACTAGAAACTACTGAATTTTTTTTCACTTCCTGCTAAGAAATTTCTAGTTAAATGTATTTCACTAGTACCATTAAGTTGACAAATGATTGTGTAATGTCTCCCATGTCATTTGTATCTTAACAGCGACCTTTACCTGATTATAAGAATTCGTAATAAAAAATACTAACATTTTAAAAATCTTTTTACAAAGCCTTTGTCACATTTGTCATAGCATTTCATTTACACATTCACTTGTAAGACAGCTATTTTCATTATGTAAATGAGGAAACTGAAGTTTAGAAATAAAAAGTAACTTCCTTGCTAATATATATTAGGTTAAATGACATGAAGCTGCCAGTTTTTATAGGTCAAAATACACAAATATTGGTAATTTCACATGGTTCAACTTAACAGAAACTGAACTCAGGATTTCTGACATGAGATGGAATTTCAAGCACAAACCAAATGAATTTCTTAAGTCAAATGACAATTTCTCAGGAAACTTGAAAGCATAACTGTAAGGGGCTTTCTGGTTCTTAATATAAAATACATTTTGATGCTTATACCTCAGGTTTTATTTTATACATGTAAAATTTGAGAAATAAATTCACTGGTAATCTAAGGACTGTCATATACAGTTACACCCAACAGTGGAAAAGGAACAAAGGCTTTCCACATTTTTGCAGCTATCTAAAAGAAAATGTACACTGTTATCTTTTCCCTGATAACAAACAGAACTGAATGCCAAATACAAAAAGTAAGAATTACAGGGGGACAAAAAATCAGATACTTTATATTATACATCACCTTTTGAAGGCTATTTCCATCCAGAATAACCTTGGTTTGCCAGGGCCAATAGAAAGAAGTCACAAAATCACCTTTAGTAAAGTTTGTGTGTTTGCTTTCTTCTATAATCCCAACACCTCCACCATCAACCACTTGAGACAGCTGCCAAGGTGTCAAATAATCAGATCCAGTGTCTTCATTCATTCTACAACGCTAAAAAAGAAAACACTCATTCTATCTGGTAATACTGAACCAGTTTACTGATTTACCCAGTGACTCAAAGACAGGTATATAATAAGTAATGTTAAGTAAAGTGTTAGGAAACAAATAAAATTTATCTTAGTTTCTCTCTTCCTTTCAGTTATTTTTTTATCCTGAAAAAAATGTATCCCCTCTCTAATAAGTAAAGAAATACAGTTAAAAAGGAATTAAAGTATGTTCTAAAATTAGATTGTGGTGATAGTTCCATAACTTTGTGAATAGACTAAAAGCCACTGATTTATACATTTAAATGTGTGAATTGTATGATATGTGAATTATATTTCAATAAGCTGCTAAAGCTTTTATACAATTATTATACTTAAAGAAATTGAAGTAATGTTACATATATTATGCTAGCAAAAATAACACATAATACTATGCCAATGGTTTCAATGGATTGTGGCAAATTAGATACACTTACATGTTGCTGATAATATAAAACTGTCAATTTTTTTACAGAAAACAAATCAGTAACATATAGACCAGAATAGTACTCATTTCTTTTGGCCTAGCAATTCCACTTCCCCAATGGAAATAGCACAAAAAGAAATGAAACTTTTTATACAGTTGTTCATCACAATCCCTTCTGAACTCCTCTTCCTCATTTCTAAAACCTATTCCCAAAGCATTTTTAAGCTGTCCCCAATTTCTCTAGTCAATTTCTCACCAAAGCACAATGATAGGGAAAACGTCAGATCAAGCTCTATATCATATCCCTAACCTCAGGTAGATGTTATCTTTATTCCACAAAGGCAGAATGCCACAATGGCACCACACCCTTCCATGGGACTAGAGCTAAAGACTTCTGGGAGGTAGTCAAGTCTCTCTTCCTCTCTGCGGCTCACTCTTGTCTCTCTCATGAAGCCAAGATGAAGAGGCCTACAGTGTGGTCCAGGAGATGGAAATATGGAAGGCTGCTTGATTAAGGGGCCATATACGTGGTCTAGTTCAGTTCACCAGGGGAACAGGCCAAATAGGAAATTGAGGCAGAGACTTCTATGGGAATGTGCTGCACGCCTGCTTGCGTACTCCTCCATGTGTTCTAGAAAAGCAAGTGCAGCAGCCATTGGATACTGGCCAGACCAAAGACCTGACTCTTAACTTAAATAAGGCTAAGGGGGAAAGCAGAACAAGTAATTCCCTGTAGATAAGCAAATGATGTCAACATAACAGAATATTATATAACCACCACAACAATGATACTTGGACTCGATTTTCATATGAAGATATATATATAAAGTCCCTTAAATATGAAATCAAAACAGTATATACACATTAAATATAACCATGTAAAATACTGTATACACATGATGATTAAAATTAGTCACGAATCTGGAATGATATAAAATTTCAATGATACCTTTTTTCCTTTTAAAGTTCTTTTTTTATTTTAAGAACAATGTCTAGTGAAGGCAACTGATTACTTATAATTCCCAAGGGGAGGGGCACACTGTGCCATGCAGGGCCACGTGGGGAAAGAAGTGATTTTCCTCCTTCATTTAATTAATACTTAATAAGCCCCACGCTAGTCACTGGAGATACAGTGATAAATAAGACCGTTGTCTTCCAAAGTTTACTTTTTATCAGGGAAGACAGATATCCAATAACTACACAAATAAGTATTAATTATAATTAGGATAATGGTGAAAGTCAGTCAAGGTACTGTTTTGAGACAATATAAGAGAGGACTAGCCTGAGGGTTCAGGGTGATTTAACCAAAGCAAATTTCTTTAAAACAGGCTTCTAGGGCATAACCCCGGCTGGCCAAGTAAAAGGAAAGTGGGAGGACGCTTTTAGATGGAGGCGCAGCACGTATGAAGGCTTGTTTGAATTTGTACCCGGGATTTTGTTTTAATCAGGTATGGTAAGGTGACAGATGGAGACAACTGCCTTGAAGGAAGAGGCTGTTACTTACAATTCCCAAGTGGAGGGCACACCAGACCATGCAGGGCCACGTGGGGAAGCACCAGTTTGTTAGGAGGCAAAAGCAGCAAGAGGAAAGCATGGCCCAGAGTCTTTATTGTGGTTTCTGGGGGAGGGAATGGGCAAGGCAGGGTAAGCAAGCTTGAGTAACGTTAGGATTGAATAGCTGGAATACTTATGGTGGGCTCCGGCTTACAGGCATGGTCCCTAGTTGTCTGGTACTGGCTCTGAGGTAATTTAGGGCAGGGGAAATATTGGCTTGGTGTGTGAGAGTTAGATGAAGGAGATGGTTGGAGATACAGGCTTTAGATCGATTGGTTTACACATGAAAGGTATGTCCCTGGCAAGTTGTTTGTTAGCTCTAAAAATTAGCTAGCCCTGGGAAAGGCAGTCTCTCCAGGATTAGCAAGGCCTCTAAGATATGAAAGCATCATAAAATACAGAAAATATTGGGTCATCAGGAAAGTCATGATGCATTTTTGCATTGAAAAAACATAGAAAAATACGTCATGACTTTCCCAACGACCCAATAAAAAGCATAATTAATCAAGGAATGAGCAAAAAGGGGCACTGGTGTGTTATAACAGAAAGAGACCCAGAGAAGCCAGGATACAAGGGTAAGAAATAAAGCAGGTTATGGTGAGACCGGGCAGGCAAACGGGTCAGACTGTGTAGCATCTTAGGCCATATTGAGGAGTTTAGTCTTTATCACAAGACCAATGGGAAGCCATTAAATGATTTTAATCAAGGTAACATGACTAGTTGCTATTATAAAAAGATCACTCTGGCTACAGTGTGGGAGATGGTTTAAGGGGTAAAGGATACCCCATTAGGAGAGAAACAATGGTGATTCAGACTAAGTAGATGTTCTTGGAATTTACTGAGAAGTGGATTGAACTGAGAATTATGTAGGAGGTGGGCCCCATAGGACCTGATGATTAACTGACAGAACATAGAGAATGAAGAGACAAAATTCTCAAGGCACACTCAGCGCTTTCTAGCATGAAATGAGTGGATAGAGGAGCTAACCGATCCCTGAAAAAAAAGAGAATTTTCTGTTTTTGTTGTTTTGAGGTTGGGTGTGTTTAGAAGTGAAATCATGAATTCAATTCATGTCATAATCCTAGTTGTTTGATCACTTATCTACCCCTAAATCTTCGGGTCATAAATTTCTCTTCCCTGTAAGACTCTCAGAGGGAATTCTACTGAATGGGAAGTTTGTTCCAACTTAAAGAATTCTAGGAAGAACACATCCTTTTAGCTTATTTCAACTATTCCTTTTTGTTTGCTCTGTTCAATCTTTAAAACATTTCTCACCTTGAACCTTAGCTTTATTTTGGTAAAATTTGTTTTCTTAATGTACATTGCATTTATTATCCTGGGCTTAAGTGATATTCTTTACATTTTGTTCATTAGGGCATATGCAATCTTTAGATGACCTGAGCTATGTCTTTATACATTGAAGAGTAAAAGTGTTAAGAAATCCAAACCAGTCATCGTCAAGAATGGACTCTGAATACTAAATAGCACACTGTCATTTTTCTCATGAATTTGTGATAATTACAGTGGTTCCCCCTTTTCTGCGGGGGATATTACAAGACCTCCAGTGGATTCCTGAAACCTCAGATAGTCCTGATATACATGCTATCTTTTGTTCTATAATAAAGTTTAATTTATAAATTTGGCATAGGAAGAGATTAACAATAACTAGTAATCAAATAGAACAATTATAACAATCTACTGTAATAAAAGGTATGTGATATGGTATTATTAAGTAAAATAAGGGAATACCATGACAGTCGATCTGATAACTGAGACGGCTACTAAGTGACTGACAGTTAGGTAGCACATACTCGTATACAGAACCTGCCATGTAAACTGAATCAATCTGAGAGAATTTCCCATCCTAATTTACTATCTTCAAGCTTTACTTACTACTGGGAAGTGATCTGGACATTTGGAAGAGCCTGACTAAACATAAGTACTACCATTATGAAAACCTTCCTTCTACAGCATTCCTTAATAACACTAGTGAATAAAAACAAAAGCACTCTGTAATTCACATATATCAAGATATACTTCCTCAAATATCTATTAATCATGAGGATTGCACAATAAAATTAGGATGCAACATAAAAAATATGAAAATAAAATTAATTTTTACCAACTCACAAAATCCTGATTCTTACCATGTAAGGATCCACAGAAAGATAAAGAGTTTTGACTTGTACTTGTCCTTCATTGATATTATCTGGTAAATTTACTTCTTCTACTCGGAAATTTTCTGCCACTGGATTACCATTTTTTCCTAAAATATTAGGTAAAAATGTAATATCAAAAACTCACTTTCTTATATAATGATTTATTATTCTTTAAAAGGTCATTCTAGGATTAAAAGCACTACTCTCTTTTAATACAGGCATGAATAAATCTATATTGTTTTGTAATTTCTGTAACTCAGCATAAATTCTTCAAATACTTTTAATTACTCTTGATTTTCTCCAAGAAAATCCTTTGGAACATTGCTGTTAACTTCAAAATTTCTGTTTTTAAATGACTACAGGTAAATCACCTTACCTGTTTTAAAATTTATAAGGATGTCAAAAAGCGAAAAATCATAGCCAGCTTTTAAAAAATTATAAAAATTAAAATTTACAAGGTAGCAGAAACACATCAGCCAACAAAATAAAAATAAAAAGGTAAACTTTCCTTCTTCATTTTAAGAAGAAAACAAAAACTTAAATAATGTAATTTTTTTAAAAGTCTAAAAATGAGAAAATTTGAAATATGAAAAGAGAAATCTATTAGCAGATAATGCCATCACTAAAAGTGTACTCGTGTTCAATATGTTGAACATAACCAAACTTCCTATTCATTGAATCATCCCATTTCTGAGGTGGGAAGAGAATGTAAAGATTTTAATTTAACTGTTCACTTCACTAAAACTGAGGTCAGAAAAGGTAAGTAAGTGACTTCCGCATGCCACATGCTAGGTAGGTGGGAAAACCAAGGCAGCATGGGCCCAAATCTCTTAAGTTACTTCCATACCTGTTTCTATGACTCAGGTTAGATGTCAGCACAGACATAGGTCAGTGCTCTGCTCATAAAACAGAAAAGCAAATTTTAAGAATCAATTATACATACTATAAAGAAAAAACAAAAGCTACATATATTTGTAATATAACCTTTTAAATATTATAATTCTAAAATACCTTATTTTTTCAACAAATGGCCTTGATAAATTAGCACTTAAAAAATCTGAATATTCCATTGTTTAAAGAATTTCTTCTAATATCTCTGCTAGTGTTAATATCTTCCTACGTCAATTTAGCACACTGACATAACATGAATACTTTTGTTCCTCCATTTGCATGAAAACTTATCAAAGACCACAGCTGTTCATTCATCACAGATAAATACATACCAGGTCGGGAATTCAGTATCACTCTTTGTACAATCATCGTCTTGCTTGCACAGGGAATCACACAAGATTTCTGTATAAAATAATTCCTATAGATAGAAAAAAATTTTAAATCACAAGAAAGTTTTAGAATGAACAATTTAAAAATTAAAACATGAAGTACATTTGTGTTTCTGAACAAGGAAAGGAAAAAAACATATTTAGGATCCAAAAAAGATATAGTATCCTGTCAGAGTTTGCCTCCTAAAGCAAATATATGAAAACTAAGTCTAATTAGAATATTTGCTTAATAGGAACAAGTTCGTTGACAACTGAGTGGGGCAAACTGTTTTTGGCCTCACAACTCAAGCACATTCATCTTCATACCACCATGATTAAGCCTCCTGCTGTGGCTTGATTAAAAGAAAACAGCATGATATACTCTTCCAGAGCTTGCCTTTTAATCTAGTACCAAAATAAAAACACAAGCTGCTTAATTGAGATGTAACCAAATTTTCAATAATTCTCTTACTCATTTATCAAAATGGAAACTTCTTAATAGTTTGGCTGGTTATAAAAGGAAGGTCAAAGCATTTTTAAATCCTTACCTTATAGGAAATTCTGTAATATAGAATGGACAAATAAGTAAAGTATCAAGTTTATTCTGGGTATCCAATTTGAGCTAATGAAAGAAGCAAAATGAAGTTCCTGTGCTGACACTATCTGACTTGAGGGAAATAGCCCTGCTTACCTTATCCATCAGTAAAAATGAGAACAAACCTTTCACTATAAAGGAAATATTAAAAGGAAGACATTTTGATGACATTCAGGACATCAAGGGTAATACGACAACAGCTCTGACAGCCATTCCAGAAAAAAGAGTTCCAAAATTGCTTTGAAGGGTGGACTAGGCGCTGGCATTGGTGTGTAACTTCCCAAGAGAAGTACTTCGAAGGTGACCATAGTGATATTCAGCAATGAGGTAGGTAGCACTTTTTCTAGGATGAGTTCGCGAACTTAATTGTCCGACCTCATATGTATTAATATTTACAATCTCACTGGTTGTGACATTAATGGCTAGTTGCCTTCAATATCCATTCTCTTCTTATGGACACAATGTTGTCCAGCTAAAAGATTGCATTTCCCAGTTTCCCCATAAAACAAATCCCAGACATAATCCCATTTCAACTAAAAAAATCCCTCAGTTATGCATCTCTGATAACAGATTGTTTTAAACATAAACACTATGCCATTAAGCTAACAGAATTAATAGTACAGGTAATTCCTCAACATTATTTAATACCTAGTGCATTAGTGCAAATTCCGATTAAAGATGTCTTTTTACAGCTGTTTCATTAGAACCAAAATTGAAGGTCCACATACTACATTTTGAGCCTTCTCTCCTTTTTTATTTCATGCCACTGATTGAAGAAACATGTTTCTTTATTCTTTTGTCTATAGAATGTCCTTTGATTGCTTCCTCGTGGTGTCATTTACCTCTTTCCTTTATCTCCTCCCTTACCCTTGACTGGTTAGATCTAAAGATATAATTAGATGCAGGTTCAATTTTTTAGACAAGAATCTTTTAAAATGGTGCTGTGTGCATCCTATTTCATCACATCAAGAAAACCATGTCTTGTAAAGCTAAATATATTCAATATTTCTATTGAATTACATTGTGTATAAATTATGTAAGGATTAAAAAGCAAAGATTTCCAAATTGATGCTGAGTCCAAAGATAACTGCACTTAAGTGGTTATTAAAGCACCATGATGACTAAATTTTCAATTAAAGGAGTTTTTCCAAATGAAGTTGCAAATTTGTCCACTTCCCTAATCACTTTCAATGTATGCTTTATTTCTTTAAATTATAGATTTGTCCAAATACTGCTGCTAAGCAAGAAAAGTACACCTTTAAGGTTCTCTCCCTCTGTATTAAATTAGAAAGTTTTCAAGTGTCAAATACAATTAATTAATATAGGATAATCACACAATATCCCTTGATAGCACAACAAATTTAAAATATAAAAAACTGAATTTAGTTACAAAATTAAAACTGAAAATATGGCACACCAGGTTCTAGATATGAAAGGGTGGTGGTGGTGTTAAATTCATCCAAAGTGTGTGTGTGTGTGTGTGTGTGTGTGTGTGAGTGGGGGGTGAGGGGACTCTTTACTGACTGACATTAAGCAAATCACATTTGCCTGGTATGATATTAAGTGGGTTACTAATTAGTGCTAAGTAATATTCTAAAACAATACCAGATCAATGATCAACTGAAAAATTCATTCTGGTGCCAGTCATAAAGAGTGTGTTATTTAAATGTCTACCTTGCAGCCTAATATAAGCGAGAGGGCACTGAACTAGGAGGAGCAGAGTACAAGTCCTGGTTCTAACCAGGTGGGATCTTATTAATTTATTAATACACTCAGCCTCTTTCCTGGGCTAACGACTTTATAGTCATTACTGCGTTTAACCCCACCACCCAATAACCCTATGAGGTTGGTACTGTCAGCGTCCACATGTTATAGAGGAGGAAAGGGAGGCACAGAGAAGGTGAGTAACTTGCCCATGATTGCACAACTCGTAATGACGACACTGGGACCCATACTCAAACACACCATTTACATGAGCTTCCTAACACCGTTTAAGAAAACATTTCTCTATCCTGATCTCGTTCAGTTATTTTGCCACAAACGACTCTGCTGACCACGGCCTTCTTATAAAACATGGAAATTCCTGGGATTTCCTCAACTCTTTCTGGGCAGCCGCCATCCTCTCCTTTGAGTCTTCGGGTTCCTCCTTCCTCTGCCCAAGTCTAACCCGTAGTGACTCCTGCATGATTCTTCTCTTTCTCAGCGACCTCACCTTCCTCTATGGCTCCCACTACCATCCACTCATGTGAAAATTACTACGAACCTGCATCCACAGCCCCGAATTTCAAGCTGACTTCCCAGATTGTAAGCGCCAGAATAGGGATTTTTATCTGTTGTTCAACTATTTATGTCCATGCCCTATGCCTGGCACATGGTAGGTAATCAAAAACTGTGTGAAATGAACGTCCCAGAGGCACCTTAAACACAATTATGTCCAATCCTGAGGTTGCTTACAATTCTATTTAAAAACAAAAAACACCTGCTTCTGCTTCTTCTCCAGCATTCCCTACTCAAACGTCCTAGGTATAATGCCAGTAGTTCCAGGAAGAAGCCTGGAGGTCACCCTAGCTCCTGGGTCCTTCCTCACCCCGAAGATCCGACCCAAACACGGGTTCCCTACCCCCGCCCCAGGCGGGACTAGCGATCGCCGCCGGTCACTCACCGCCACCGAGCGCCGTAGAAAATATCGCGTTGTTTGCAGGGCTGTAAGCAGCTCACTGCGCGACTTCGGCTCTCCAACCGCAGTACGCAGGCGCACGACTAGATCTCTGCTCTTCGCCTCCTAGCCTCCCAGGGGCGGGCTTGGGAAGTTTCGGCCTGTTTCCTTGAGTGGCGGGGAAGGTCAGACAGCTATAGGACAGTCACGTGTCTGGGCAAAGCGTATCAATAAATTAATCATGACTCGTGCCCTATGGCCTTGCCTTGTGCCTGAACCCGAAAAGCAAATTGTTCAGCCTTGACCAGGAGTTCACTTCTAGCAATCCTTGGAGTAATTTTATTCGTTTTATGAACTTCTCCCTGAGCCTTGGACTGGAAAATTGCAGTGAGAGGGGCCATCAGGCCTACCCCTCGTTGTTTTATGGATGGGGAACAGACTGGGAGAGCTGATGTGATTGGACCACCCACCTTTCATCTGGTAGGGGACAGTGCTGAGATTAAAACAGTCTCTCCACACTGCTGGCCCAGGGCCCCTTCCTGGTTCTTTAAGGCAGGGCTGTCTCTTCTTTCACAAAGCATCCCGAATTCCTCAAAGATAGTTTATCTAGTGTGGTCAGATTTCTCAGTTTCATTAATTATTAATTGCTTCCCTTTTTGCCGAACTGGGTTCAGCAAGGTTTATTTCTAGGACAGCTTTGGTTCCCCAGGGACCCTAACAGAGACCATCCTGATTAGGCAGGTGAAAGAATTGCTTTTTACATTATATTCATATCAAAGCTAATCGCTCAGCACAAATAATGGTATTCAGTAGCTGAAAGATGGCTGGAATGGTGAGCAAGGGAGTAAGAATCATTAAACAGGGAAGAGCTCCTAGTTATTTCACCTCTGAAATTTCTACTTTGAGGAGGCTTTAGGAAAGGAATATAAGGATTATAATACTACGCAAATTCCTATAGGCCAGAGCTTATTTCTTTTATCAGTCTTGTACAAATAGACCTTCAATAACCTTTTGTAATAACTTGAGCCAAATAATTAAAAAGAAAATGTTCAAACAGACTAAAAGTAATAGCATAAAATACAGGTAGTTTAGAACTTGACCTTAAAAGAAACATCCTCTCAAAGTAGAAAAGAAACTTCAGTATTAAGTTAGTTTTGACTCTTGTTTCTAGGGCCTGAGAACTTGTATCGAGTGTGAGTTTTCTCCCTAGAATGAGTTCCCATTCCAAAAAAATGAGTATCTTAATTGTGACCTCACGAGAGGAGAGAAACTTATCTAGAACTACCTAGCTAAATTTCTTCTCCCAAACTCCTGAACCTCAGAAGAAACTATGTGGGATAATCATTTGTTGTTTTAAGCTGCTAAATTTTGAGGTAGTAGGTAATGCGGCAATAGATAAACTAGCATGCACACTAAGAGAGAATTAGGGCTCCTTGGAGAATGGCTGATTTGGGGGGCGAGGGAAGTTGGACACTAGATGAGCCTGAAACATCTTGTTTTCTAGAAATTAAGTTTTAAAAAACATGATGAGACGTCACAGGGACCCAGAAGTCAGCTTGAAGGGGATGCATCCTGACTGGCTAAATCTGGGACAACTTGAGCAGCAAAATAATTATGATAATGATTTATAAACATTGTGAAAATGGAAATCCATGAATCTATACCGATAACGAACAGCTGGAATAGAGGGTTCTTGCTTACAGTTGAACAGTGAGGGTTTGAACTGTGTGAATCGTTTGAAAAAAAATAATGCCAATAAGTGGGCCTGTGCAGTTCAAACTCACATTGTTCAATGGCCAACTGTATATTCAATTTAAGTTCTCTCTGTGTGTACCCTAACACCTTTGTTAAAGAAGAAAAGAAATCTGTTTGAGTTTCCTCTTAAACTGGATTCAACCAAAAGTACAAGGGCTTTTATGCCAAGAAAGAACCATCTTGCTTTATAATAAATGTCAAGGGTGCTCAAATACCTTAAACCACTAAGTCTTTCCTCTTCTGTTTATAGATCTATGTATGTTTAAAGGAACACATGCAAAATTCAAGCTGTCTTCAAGTATGCCTCAAGTTTTATTTTCTACAGGGCCTTTTTTTTTTTTTAAGATTTTATTGGGGAATTGGGGAAGGGGAACAGCCAAGTTGTCCCTCAATCTTAGTTGTGAAAGGCTCAGCTAGCTCAGCTCCAAGTCCAGTCACCATCCAGCTGCCTATCTGCAGTTCAGGGCAGCTCAGCTCAAGGTGCCTTGTTCAATCTTAGTTGCGGATGGATGTAGCCCACCATCCCATATGGGAGTCAAACCGTCAACCTTGTTGTTAGGAGCACGTGGTCTCACCAGCTGAGCCATCCAACTCAGTTGCAGCTCAGCTCAGGCACAGCTCACTGGCCCATGTGGGAATCGAACCGGCGACCCTATTCTCAGAGCTCACACTCTTAACCAACTGAGCCACTTGGCTGGCCCTACAGGGCCACCTTTTTTAGTCTTCTATGCACATATGTGCAAGCCCAGAATCAGTCAAGCATGTGTGAATAGCCTGGGCTCTCTTTGGTGTCCACTATCCACGCATGCCACCTCAGCCAGGAATGTGCCTACCCCAACCACAACTGCAACCACAGGCTAGTAGAGACCAGCTGTTGGCTTCTTCCTGTTCACCTGTATTGAAGATGTCACTTCCAAATAAAATGTCTCTTTTTTTTTTCTTAAAGATTTTTTTATTGGGGAATTCGGGGAGGAGAACAATGTTGGGGAATCGGGGAAGGGGAACAGTCAAGTTGCTGTCCTTTTGTTCTTCAGTCTAGTTGTGGAGGACGTTGCTTCACTGGCCCATGTTGGAGCCAAAAACGGTGGCCCTGTTGCTCAGAGCTTGCTCCCCAGCCAACTCAACCAACGATCCACTTGGCTGGCCCTACAGGGCCACCTTTTTTAGTCTTCTATGCACATATGTGCAAGCCCAGAATCAGTCAAGCATGTGTGAATAGCCTGGGATCTCTTTGGTGTCCACTATCCACGCATGCCACCTCAGCCAGGAATGTGCCTACCCCAACCACAACTGCAACCACAGGCTAGTAGAGACCAGCTGTTGGCTTCTTCCTGTTCACCTGTATTGAAGATGTCACTTCCAAATAAAATGTCTCTTTTTTTTTTCTTAAAGATTTTTTTATTGGGGAATTCGGGGAGGAGAACAATGTTGGGGAATCGGGGAAGGGGAACAGTCAAGTTGCTGTCCTTTTGTTCTTCAGTCTAGTTGTGGAGGACGTTGCTTCACTGGCCCATGTTGGTATTGTGATCATTGCGCTCTTCCCGGCAGAGGCAGATCGGTGGCCGGCCATTGGACAGCCGCTCACAGTGGCTCACAGTAACTGACAGCAGCCCACTGCAGCCCCACTGCAACCTACGCTATGGCTGGGGACTCATGGCAGCCCAGCTCCAGGTCGAGCTGTTGTTCACCATCTTAGCTGTAGAGGGCGCAGCGTCACTGGCCCGTGTGGGAGCCAAAAACGGTGGCCCTGTTGCTCAGAGCTTGCTCCCCAGCCAACTCAACCAACGATCCACTTGGCTGGCCCCTAAAGTGTCCCCTTTCAGCCACAGCAGAAAAACTGCCAGTCCTCATAGCCAGCCCCATCCTGGCAGAACCTTTACATATTCACCTGGGATGGTGGTGGGAAATAGGAGTAGCCCCAAGCCAAAACACCTCAAATTCCCACTGTTCTTACCCGAAGTTCAGCAATTCTCCAAGCATAAATACTTCTCAGATTGTGATATGCCTTTGGTCAATTTCTGGAGCACAAAATGGTTATTTGTGTTAATTTTGTCCAGCTTTATAGTGAGCTTTTAGGGGAGTAGATTTTCTAATCTCCTCACTTGTCCATAACTGGAAGTCTGTTAGTTTATTTTTAAATTCCAAATCACTTTAGAAAAGGACTTGAGATTTTTGTGTGCATCAAAAGAGGCATGGCCTAAAGAAAAAAAATAAATCTGAGGAACCCTGAACTAAGTCAACTCCCTCACTGTACAAAGGAAGAAAGAGAGACAGAAAAGCAATATGACTTACTCAAGATAAAATAATTTGGTTAGTTTTTAAAATAGTAGTAAATTAAGCTACCATTTATTTAAACAGTGGTAATGAAACTACTTTTCCTAGAACATTTTTTTCCAAATTATTTAAAATATTGCCATTTTATTTTGTTGATCATCTCTTTTTTTTTTTTCATGTATTACGTCTATGGATATAGGACCTGGAGTTTTATAATAATGAATAATGGATCAAAACTATGACTGGTTCCCATTCTTGTTACCAACCAAGAACTCGTTTCTAAGCCATCATTTTGAACGAAAATAATACCAGATCTAAAATCTCAAAAACATAATGTTGAGCAGAAAAGGCAAGTTACAAAATGAAACAACAGTATGATTTCATTTATATGAAGTTTGAAAACATGCAAAATAATACAAGTATGTTGTTTGTGGATACAACTTATGTTGTAAATGCATAAAAACATGCAAGAGAACGATAAAGTCCCAATCCATACTGAGAATGACTACTTCTGAAGGAAGAGAAATAAGATCAGGGAGGGGGCACACATACAATTGCATTTCTTAAACTAAGTGGTGAGTATCTGGATGTTTGTTATATTATCCTATAAACTTTTTGTATTCATAAAATATTTCATGATAATCAAAAGCATTAGATACCAGATATATTATATTTTAAGGAAGACATAAGAGTTACATTTCAAAGAAAAGGATCAGATTGGCTTTTGGAACACACAGCATCCATAAAGAACTGAGGTTT